AGAGTGTGAGAGCTAATATTTTAAAACGGTGGCTTTCCAGCTTTTTCCATGTTTCTCTTGTTCTTAGCATGTTCCAGTCCAAGGTATGGAGCTTTCAATAGAATGTTTAAGCCAATGCCCAGAGGTTTATCTTGTTTGTTTCTCATCTGTGAGTATAAACTGCATAGTCTCCTGGCTTAAACCAACTCTTGAAGCAACTGTGCATCAAACACAGGAACCAAGGAGATTATATACAATATTTATCTTTCTTTTTTTTTTTCCCCCCCTTCCATCATTTTGGTGAATTATGTGCAAAAAGAAGAACTACATTTCGGTAAGGGAAAATACTCTTCTGTGACTGTAGGAACAGAGTTCACTTTGAGTTTGTATATATTTTACTTGAAAGTTGCCAACATGAGCAGTGCAGTCCTTTGAGTTGCTGAATAATCCCTAAGAGGCCTGGTAAAATGCTCCTCTTTGAAGTCAACAGCATTTAGGGGACTGAAGATTTTACAAGATCTGTTATAAGATTTTAATATGAAGTTACTCATATAAAGGAAGAGGATGAATTTATGCAAGATATTCCTGGGACCTCATTCTTCACAGAGAAAAAAAGTTTTTAAAACACAAATGATTCGTCTTCTTAGAAAACTGAATACTACGATTCTGAGTTGACACTCACCTATGCATTCCTCACGTGACGGTGACAGCTCATGTCCCAAAGGACAGTCACACTGAAAACTCCCTTCGGTATTCACACATGTGCCACCTCTACACAGCAGAGGATTGCGTTCACATTCATCAATATCTGAGAAGAAATCATGATAACTAAATATAAAATCATCAGTAAGGAGCAATAAAGACAAAAGCAATACTTGGTGTCCGTATATGAAAAAATCTGGAGGTCATAAATAAAAGGACTGTTCCACTGCAGCATGGCTGCTCCTTTCCTCATGCTGCATAACAGGATGAATGAAAAACTACACAGTATTTATTTATGCCCTCAAGAAAAGTATGTATTTATGGCCTCAAGAAAACCTGAAATTCCTCATTCAAAATTCTAGGAGACACAGGACACAAGAAAAGACAGCAACTATTTGGATGGTTGCTATTTAGAACAATGTATTAATGTGTGAAATTTTTGAAAAATTGATTCTTAATGCAACCAGATACACATTTATGTATGAACTGAAACTTTTGTCTATGTGTGCTGTTAATGGGGATGATGACTCCTCAGTTTGATAACTCCTGTGTATGTCACTACATGGCTCAAAAATACACTTGCTACAGCTTATAATGGCAACTGAATAATTGACTCACAAACCTGATAACACAGCTAACAGTGTAGACCTGGATGAAGATAAATATGATCAGAAGATGTTCAAGGTGCAGGATCCACTCACACTTTTGGACTCCAAAGAAGCATTACGGCTAACTGTCCTTGAAACTAGAGACTTTTATTCAGACAGGTAGACTACTGTAACCTCTCATTAGCCTGAGAATTTAGCCTAGATATCACTGAGTTTTGCAGGTTATTCACATGAGGGGAGAAAATGCCTGATGACAGACTTCAGTATTTCTTTTGCCATACTCCTGCTTGGATAGTCCTCACAATGCCAAAACACTTTCATCGAACATTATGCCCTTTGCAAAAGGCCCTCAAGAAGCCATCTCTTTTCTTATCTTCTCACTCTCCGCTTATTTATGTGACATTTTGCTTCCCTGACATTGTCTTACAGACAATGCATCTCCACCATACAGTACTGATTCTCTGCATCTGTACATCGTTTCTCATGAAGGCTATTCAGCTTCCACAGTTTAGCTTCTTTGTCATGTTCATCTCTGATTCAAGCAATGATTTTTTTGCTGACTTTTGGAGTCTAAAAAACATTATGATTCGCAGGAAATCAAGTAAAGACACAGGACCACTTATCTGAGTTCAGTTAAGAACACGAAAGCTCCTAAAAAAATTCAAACACCAAAAAGGAAGCATAAAACAGGCAAAACAGGAGAAATAAAGGTGCTGTTTGAGTGTGCAGGGATGGGATTAGGAAAGCCAAAGACACCAGCAGTTGACCCTGGCAAGTGATGTGAAGGATATAACAGCAGCAGCAAAAAGATGAGGGGAAATGCATGAAGGGATCTGCTCACAAAGGACATGAGTACTGAGAGGGAGCTGGCTAACATTATTTTGAAGCCACGCTTGACCATTCTTGAAAGGTCATCAAACATAAGCAAGGAGCTTTAAGGTGGGAAGAGTAGAAATGCCAGTCCAATCTTGGCAAAAGGCAAGAAGGAGGAGCCATTCAGCCATTTCATCAAGATGAAAATCTCAGACTTTTCATTATCATTACATATTTCACGATGTATTTAATGAAGTACTCCACAATACGAACTCAAGATCTTTAAAGGTGGCTAGTAACTTTTGGTGTCTCTGTATCTATTCTTAGAACTTTAGGCAGAATAAAGGGATGTGATTTTTCAGGAAATGCCCTCTGAATTTCTTGAGTCCTAGAAGAATCAAAGAAGAGTGAAGCACACTACTTTTGAGACTCCAGCTTTCCATTCCTAACTTTAGCAAGTGTTTAGATATCTCATTAGACATTTTTAAACTACATAAGTGAATAGTGGCTGCCATAAGACAAGTACAGAGAAACATGTAGAAGTAATGAGGAAAAAAGCAAGCACAACTACTGCAGAGTTCAGTTATCTGTCCTATGAACTGTGTATTTGTCTCATTTGTTGAAGAAGTCTCCATAATTATACATATGAAGTATTCAGTGGAGCAGAGCTAACATAGTACAGAGCACAGCCAGGTAAATGGACAGACTCCAGGTTATCCTAGTAATACTCACCCATACAGTTCTTCATCATCATAAATCCACTTTCATAACCATCAAAGCACTCACACTCAAAGCTTCCAGGAGTGTTGACACAAGTACCACTTCCACATAAGTCTGGGGAGATCCGGCACTCATCTATGTCTGTTTTATAGTAATGGAGAGGTAAGAAAATAAAACATAATGTAAGGTTACCCTGCATTTCACAGAACTGAACACTTGACCATTATAAATTAACTCTACAATAATCATATGTAGTGTATAAATCATCAGAGAAAAAATGAAATTAATATTTAAAAGAACAACTGATCATGTGTACCAGTTTGTGAAACATAATTCCTTCAGAGTGCTCAGCTATAAATTAAACAAAGTAACAAGCAGGTTTCCCTTAAGTCTAATTTGAGTTTATATTTCTAAGGAAATAACTAACAAATTCTGAGGTGTTATTATTACAAAGGTACCAACTGACTCCATGACTACAGTGCTAATGATATTAAATTGCTTATTACAAAAAGACATTTATCCAGTAATGGCATTCTAAGCTTACATATACCCTTTCCATTAGGAATTAATGTAGCTCCTTTGAAAGCTAGATTTATAGTTCACTAGTTATCGTAACAGTTAAGTTTGAACGGAAGAGTGTGGAACGCTAAAGCAGGTTTGTTGAAGGTAAAAAAGAGAAGGAAGAGCTCTTCGTAGTACACTTGGTAATGAAGCAGGAAGCTAAAAAGAAATTTACGATATGGATATGATCCAATGAAACAGGTCAGTGTTGAAGGACAGGAGTGGAAAGAACAATGGCATAGCCTGTTATTTACTACCTCCTCATATCTTTTCAGGCTCCTCTCTTATGTATTGTAATGCCCATCCAGTGTTTTTGGAGCAAACTAGGGTTCAATGCATTTGTTTCATCAACATGTTAGCAGCAAGCTGGAGAGGTGGGCAGGTGAAAATGGTTGAAGAAAACTAGGGAAGAATAAGCTTAACTGAAGATACTGCTGAAGATTTAAAACAGGTTTTTTTTTCACCACATGCAAGAGTCTCTTTTGCCTCTGTGTCACTCCCCATGGCCAGGTTTCTGCTGGATGAAGATAGTTCAGTCCTCAACACAAAGATGTGTGGAGGTGTCCAATGGTAACCCACATGGTGGGCTACAGATTATGCAGATTTCTGCAGGCTTTTAAAACATTTTGCTGCTAATTTAAAACAAAAAAGTATTTTCTTAAAAAAAATTAGTAAAATTTAATGAAACATGGTTTTCTACACCTACTTTTTGGAATATTTTCATCAGAACAAACCTTCAAGGGAAATCAGAACCAAATAAAAAGGCTTTGTAGGGAGTTTTCTGACCTATTCTTGTTAGTTTAGAAACAAAGTTTGCTAAATGCACTTCTCATCAGTGCAATCACTATAAAAACAAAGAAATCCCCGGTTAGGGCAAAATTAACATTCAGACCAACTTCAGTTAATATGCCTTACCATCCACATTTCATATTACTCAGACTCACTCATAGATGCCTGTGTGGTATAACAAAACCTCCTTCAATTTGAGAGCCACCCACAATGCAGGCATCCAGGTTCTCATAATGAGAAAATTATCAAGCCTATCTGCTGTTTCACTTTTTCTAGGGAGTAAGTAACAAAATATTAAACTTTTAAACTAAATGCACGTCTCTTCTTGAGTTAATGTTGTATTGATGTCAGAATTACAGAGGTGCCTCTGTGAGTGCATCGCTATCAACTCTAAATGAAAACTAATTTGCAGTGGAGTCTCTAATTTGATTTGGTACTACAACAACCAGAGAGTAAGGAATGTAAATTAAGTTAACCTGTGTGTTGAAACATTGAACTTGACTTTACTGGTGATCCTTCTTGATGTTTTAGGTTGTACTGCTACAGCATGACGAAGCTACACAACAAGTGCAAGTTCCTCTAAAATGCCCCAGGATGTGGCAGGGCCACCATAAGGATGTTTTCAAGATGGACAGCATGCTAGATAACTTCATCTAGGCTTCTCTTCTCAGAAAAGGCTGGAACAATCTTTTAAGGTCCCTTTCAATACAGACTATCCTATTATTTTAGGAAAAATTGGAGAAAATGTAAGACTTACCTGTGCAGTTTCTTTCCTCCATATCTAAAGTAAACCCACTGTTACATCTACATTTGAAACTTCCAATTGTGTTTCTGCATTTACCATTCGTACACATACCAGAGAACACTTTACATTCATTGATATCTACAAAATCAAAACAAAAGGAAAGAATTAATAGGAATTTCCTGTTTCTTCTTACCAATTGTATTGGGCATAAAAGGTAGGGTTGCAGAGGACTGGAGGGGTGGCCTCCTCCTACACAGGTTAGAATGGAAAAATGAAACTGAGGAGGGAAACAGAAGGGGACGCTGCTGGAGACATGACTAGAGAGAGAGACTTGGAAGGCACAATATGTCTGAGGAGGAATCTCTGAGGGACTGCCATCCCTGGAGGACCTACATCAGGGTAGAAACAGTTCTGAGGGACCACAGTCTCTGCAAGACCCACACCAGGGCAGGGACACCCCTAAGGGACTGTAGCCTAGAGCTGATGCATACCGGGGCTGGGACACCCTGAGATACAGTAGCCCATGGAGAATGAACACTGGGGCAGAGACTCATCTGAGAGATTGTGACCCTCCTGCAATCCCTGCTGGTGTAGGGAGATGCCTGAGGGACCATGACCTGTGAGAGATCCATGCTGGAGCAAGGATACCCCCCAGAGACTAAAGTACACGTGCTAATATGTGTGTTGTGCTCTATTTTGCTTTTTAATGCAATGAATATTTATGGAGTTCTTAAGCAAGCCTGTAAAAGATGGAACTATTACGTGGTTGATTGTGTTGTGGTTTTGGTTGTTTTGTTATTTGGGGTTTTTTTTGTGTTAATTGAGATTGCCAGAGCTCAGTTTAGGAAAGGGTAACTTCTATTTTGCAGAATATCAAATCAAATGTTTTGCTTCTTCTAAATGTGTTTTGCTGGACAGCTAGATAACACAGACAACTACAGGTTTTTCATGTGTCAGTCTCTCCCACACACACCCCCAACAGCGTATATGAACTTGAACAGACTTTTCTTGCACTCTATGATATAATTCTATAGACGACTGTCCTTAACTGAGAACGGTCTTTGATGAAACAAACTTCTATCTCCTATGCATTAGTGTGAATTGAAGAAAAGTGTGGTCCAAATACAAAAGCAGAAACAAGAAGCAAAACCGTACAAAAATCTTAGAGTGGATAAGATTATATTATTATTAAATAATTAAGAATCTATAATTTCTAATTAATTACTTTAAATAAAAATAACCTACTAATTTATTATTAAACTCCTTATTTGTTTAGTAAATCACCACTGAATGCTGAGAGCTTTGCCTGAGTATAGTAACTCCTGAAAAACAGGTCTTATTTATGGTGAAATAGAGGTCCAATATGTTAAAAGTTTTCTCAAGAAACTCCACATATTTCAAGACAAATGCCTCAGAATACATCCTTATAAAAATAAATAAAATATAAAACCATTTCCAGATCACCTCAGCTTCTGCAAAGAGAAATTTACAGTTTTTCTCCTCAGATCTCAGTCTCTTAAATATCTCCTCAGATCTGGTACATTTTCCAACCTCTTCAGGTTTGATTTTGCTCTACAAAACATGAAACTAGTAAAAACGGGACAAAATTTATTTTTTTTGTTTTTCCTTCTTTATCACTGCAGCTCCTCACTATCATTGCCCTCAGAATTTTAATGTAAAAAATACTCCTCCTTTTTAATCACTTACTGATTCTGCAAACCATAGAAAGAATCCACTCTTCTTCAGTCTCTCTTTCAGAGAACCCTGGCCTAACTTTAGTAATATTTTATGTTTACATATTAATTCCCTGACTTCATAGAACTTCATCTGATCCTCAGTTCACTCTTTGCAAAGCACTACCTTCAGAAAAGCGCGCAATTTTGGCTATTCTCATCATTTCGAGCTACGCTCCCTTCAGTCTTGTTGTAGAGATTTCATTTTTCTCCTTAGCAAATTCAAACTTTGCACCTTTTCCTTTTAGGCTCCTGTAACACTCCTGAGCACCCACTATGCAAGCCAAGAGTTTCCCACCTGTAAGGTCAGCTCCTCTAGGGAAACATCTTTATAACATCTCTTACCTAAAGCATATAAGAAACACGGACACAAATCCTGAGATTTTCTTAGAATATTCAACCAGATGCACCTATAATTAATTTTTAGATCCAAGAATGAACACTTACCTTTATAAAATGGCCTGCCAGTTAGAATATCTCCCCTGTTGGAAAAGCCAGGGCCTCTGGGGCACAGAGCTTCATATTCCTTGGTGCCAGGCTTAGGACACTCCTCGCAGTCGGAGCCCCAGGCAGCCCCCACGGCACAGCAGCAGGCATCCATACGAAATTTGCCAGGCACAGACTGAACACACTCGTCTTCATCCCATTTCAGGTAGCACTGCTCCATGCGAATATCTGCTCATTTTGCAACAACAAATAGGCATTTCACTCTTAGCTAAAGTTTTCTGGTGTTCAAAAGCATCTCTCTCTGAGGCCACATGTGAGGCTCAGTTTCTGGGAGACAGATTTCTGCTTAACACCCTACACTTCCGCACAATGTTCAGTCATCTGAAGTTCCTAATATTGCACTATAGTTCTGTTTCTGGATCTCTGTTGTACCACATGGAAGCATAAGCATTTGTTTTTTTGTCTCCCAATAAAAAGACATACTGTTCCTCCGACATGATTGTCCTTTTAAGATTTCTCTGTGTGTTCGATAGGACAGAGATGTCTGTTTCTTTACTGTATCAGTTATTCTCATTTACAACTTGACCTGCAGTCATGGTAAAAAAAATTAAAATATTCCTACCTATATTTATTCTAATAAATTAATTTAACAGTATAAGGAACACATAAAGAAATACTGCCGACTGTTGTTAGGCTTACTTTAACATCAGTTAGAAGAAGAAAACAATATGGTTTAATTATGGTTATACTCAAGTGTCCCACTAGTAAAAAAGCATGTCAATTGAAAGGCAGATCAATCAAGTGCACGAGCGAAATTTGTACTTGCATACCCAAGTGTCAGGAGAAGTACCACACAGTCTGTACACAGAAAAAAAATACTTTTGCTGTATCTCACATACAGTAAAATAGAACAGTAACAATCAATATGATTGCATCAGTACATTCCAGACTTTTCACCTATTTGCATGTCAGTAAAGAAAAATAGTTAAAAATGTTTAGAAAAAAATCAGTATTTGTTAAAATATAAAACTGTCATTAAAAAATCGGTTGTTCAGTCTGTACATGCTAATTTCTACAACACAGGAGAATTTTTATGCTCAAATTCCAAAAATCTGGCAAATACTACCAATAATGCACAATGGACAGTATCAATTAGCAAAGTACTAGAGAACATGTCTGTGGTATTATACAGAAATACAGGAAATTATACAGAAATACAGGAGCTTAATGCTCCCCAGGGAATTAGGGTTACTTTCAGTGTATAAGGAGATCACTAGAATGCATCATGTCTGATAGTATAACTTTCGGACATACTCTAGAGTCTCCTAAATATACTGGAGGTCAAGTTGTATTTTCAGGATATACGTAAGCATTAATGTTTAGAGAACATGTCTGTGGTATTATACAGAAATACAGGAAATTATACAGAAATACAGGAGCTTAATGCTCCCCAGGGAATTAGGGTTACTTCCAGTGTATAAGGAGATCACTAGAATGCATCATGTCTGATAGTATAACTTTCGGACATACTCTAGAGCCTCCTAAATATACTGGAGGTCAAGTTGTTTTTCAGGATATATGTAAGAATTAATGTTTCATATGACATACTGGACTGGACTGGAAGTTATGCTTCAGCAAACCCAACAGAACTCTTAAAATGCCTAGTGCAAAAATACTTTGGAGAGGATGTAGGATCTAAAAAATATACAGACGACCTACTGAACTGGTTTCCACACAGCCCTTAAAGTTGTGCAGTTTTATAATATAAATCTACCCTATGCACATCTGAAGTTAAGCAATTTAGTAGCAAGTATAAGGAATGGAAATTGTTCAAAGAATACTTACAGTTTTCTGCAAACTATTCTACATTAATTCATACTTATTTTAATTTCCAGAGATTCAACAAATACATAGGCTAATAAATATTTTTTTGCACTCAAATCACTGTAGTGGACCCCGCAGGAAATAAACACATTTCCAAAATACATGACACAATGCACAGTGCTTGTGTAGCACAGAAAGCACATAGCTTGTAAAATAAAAAGTCATTTTTTCATTAAATTAATAAAAGACAACATGGCTTTGAGGGTAAAGGAATTCTGTGTCTTCCTTCAAAATGGCTTCTTTGTTCCAACTTTTCATTATACCCGCTAAGCACAACTAAATTCACAGCCACTCTTACTAAATTTCTCATTGTGAAATAATACAGGGTCGATGGCCGGAGATGCCTGTCACTGGCAAGAGAATTACTAAGTTTGGGGGTACTGGGGAAGGGTTGAATATCAAGTAAAACCTAACACATTAATCTGCCTCTGATATGCACAAACATAATATGTATGTGCATCCAGGAAGAGGGTTTTTTTGAATTGTTTCTTTTTTCTGAGGCATTTATACTGATTGTACACATCTGCTTCATTTCAAAATTGTGCTTATTTTTAAAAATATCTCTAGAATTACATTCACATTAAAAAAGTCCCACAACCTGGCAACTGCTTGTATTAGCTAGTGGCAAGGCATAGCGCAGTCACAGCAAAAGCATTTGCTTAACCTTGAATCTGCCTGAGGAAGAAAAACACTGTTGAAAAAAAGAAGAAGAAGGTTAAAGTAGGAAAATCCTTGACACGAAGTAAGGGCTGATTTTTTTTTTGTTCTGCTGCACTGTTTTCTTAAAAGAAATCAATGCTGCCAGTAATCATATACATAAACAAAGATGGATTCCAGAATCTACTTTAAACATCCAGTACTCTGACTATCTTTCGTCATATCTGGCCACTGATTTCTAAAGATGCAGATTAGTAACACTAACTACACTTGCTAGAGGATACTTTCACTTTCTTGAATTTACCCACAGGTTTAGTACTTTTTAAACCTGAAGTCTTTCCTAGAGAAATTCACGTCTTCATAAACATCATGTTTTGGCAGTAGAAGACACTAATCTGTACATTGAAGATGAAGTCTTTATCTACACTCATTTTTATTAATCTCACCAGACCAACAAGGTAGTATCCAAGTCTCACAAAATTACTAGATAGTAATAGAGTAGCATCCACCAGCATTACAAGCTGCTGGCTGACTGCTCATCACCTAGCTCCCAGCAAATCAGACTTTTCTGTTTATGAACAGGAGTAATTGCATGCTAGCAAAACCTCTTGGTTGTATTGAGGAAAAAACATAAGTCTTAACACAAACACTCATATTCCTGCAAGGGATTAACAGTTCTTACTTGGACTTGCGAAGGCTTTTGATATCTAGGCAGGCATCAACTAAAATGTATTCTTAACAAACCGTTTTTGGAGGAATTCGGAAATGAACCAAACTTCCTTTCACAGCCCTTTGAGAATAACTTTGGACAACTGCTGAACACAGCTAAAAAGCTGGCCGAGCTGACCATACTCTTACCTAAACACACTCGCCCTGTTCCATCCAGTGTGAGTCCCTCTGGGCACTCGCAGTGAAATGAACCTCTGCTGTTAATGCACCGCCCATTGGGACAAACCCCCGGGAAAACATCACACTCGTTTACATCTGTTGGGGAAACAAAGAGTTGTGTTATATGCTAATTTGGAGGAGACAGCTACATGAAAGAAAGTGAGAAGCTTTCATGCATACTGCATTAGGGTCTGAACACCGCTCTGAACAAGCATCTGACTCAGTCTCAAAGGGCTTGCACAAGATCTTCAAGTCATAGGGCACTAAGATGCCACATTCTTTTCTCTAAGACAAGGTGATGGATGTGGCTGAGAGAAAGGAAAAACTGAATAGATTAAATGTAACTTGAAGGAGCAGTTCCATACTATTTGCATTATTTTGATATTCTCCAACAAACAGTGCAAGATATGTCTTCCCAACAGTCAGTAACTGTAAAGGCATTCATCCAAAGTCAGTAAGATTATGTCTACATAATAAATCTCCTTCTATCTCATTTTCAAAGGAAAAAAAAGTGATGAGGAAGAAGTAAAAATTTCACCTTCACAGGTAACACCCTTCACTCTGGCAAATCCTCTTGAGCAAGCTGTGTCTGGAAGAAAGACAGAAAGATCTATCACTACTTCAGAGTGACAGAAATATAGGAGTAAACAGTGTAAAAATAAATGCAGCTTCAGAATTCTTTAATAATTTGACTGTACAAGGTAATGAGTGCTCCAGACTCAATCAAGAAAAGTACTGAATCATACATGTTACTTAAATCAAGCAAATAATTGAGGAAAGTAAATCTCAGACAACTCCTTTCTCATGTGCTTCCCTTAATGGTGACCAGAATGTCCAGCATCTGATCATACCAATCTCTACACTTAGATACAGCTGAAACATAAACGTCCTGTAAAGTTGCCTGAAGATTTAAAGCTTTGGTGATGCCAGCTATCACTAAAGGCTTTTTCTTCCCACTGCAGCTTAAAAAAGGATCTGAGTAATGACATTTAGGATATCCATGTAAAATGTAGCATGCTGTAGTGATTACGAAAGCCTGCTGAAATTTAACTATTTAGAGAATAAGAAATTAAATGGCCAAAGGTTCCCAGTCTGAGCTACTTAGCTCTCCAGATTTACTAGTTTTTTATTAGTTTACCAGTCCAACCTGAACATGCTGCTTCCTGGAGTCCAAAGTAATACCTTTGCTTGACAGCTCGTTGCACAGTCAAGAGTTCTGTGGGATGTTGTTTGCAGCATGCTTGTAAGAGGGCATACATGTGTCCGCAGTTACTGTTTCAATTAAAAATGAATGGCTAAAACATCCTGACCGTGGCTGTTTTGAATAATGCAAGTGGCATTATTCAAACCTTATGGGGAGAATGCAGCACAGTATCTTTGCCACAAACTAGAGCACACAGTTAGCATCCTTGCTTCCAACTTCTAGATCTAGCTCTGTACTCTAATAGTAGTACTATTCTGTAATCACATAAGCTATGTGTTTCAAAACAGCTGGAAAAAGTGTTAACAGCTCACAACTAAAGAAGCCCTCAAGACTTCTACCTGATATTTCACTTTGTTATTGTAGTCCTTACTTCCCTACCCCAATACATATTCCCTTTGGAGATGAAATATATGTAATTATTAAAAGAAATATTCACATGTTATTTCCTGGTAACTTTAGAGCTATTAGAATGATCTCTGTTGGTGGAGATTACAAGTGATGCTAAATAAGACAAATGCATTTCATAGGTCTTTTTGTGTTGTCTGTGTGTTTCTTATATACAGAAAAAGGTATCTGGTGGTATTTCCTCTTTTCTCCCCAAAGATCCAGCAATCAGAGCACACCTAATTCACATCGCTCACAAGGGCTTCCCCAAGCTGCTCCTAAGGTAGCGCAGCATTCAGATTTCAGTGTAGCACCATTGATGTTGACTTCACAGCGATTGTCTTGGATGTTAAGCCAGCAGGTCCCCTTCAGGCTATCTGCAGCAGAATAGAAAATAGTATTGAATTGTCACAGCAAAAAGAGATAGCATGCCATTCTCATGCCACCAGTAGATAGAGCATCAAGAGAGCACAGGCTCTCTTTTAAAAGAAAAACTTTCATCAAAGTAATTTTTTACACACTTTAATTTAGAACTGGTGGAAAGGAACAACACTATCACGGAGTGTGCAACAGAGCACACTGCTTGAGGCATTTTATAGTCCATGTTCCAGAGCTAGCAGAGGTCCTCTGGATACTACAGCAGATTGATTTAATTATTTTATCTGGTCACTTATCAGCTAAAATATAAAACCTGCCTGTCGTGTTTTGACCCTGGCCAGCAGCCAGGTGCCCACACACTTGCTCTCTCATGCCCTCTTCTCTGCTAGACAGGGGGAGAACATATATCAAAGGGCTCAAGGTTTAAGATAAGGACAGGGAGATCACTTGCATTTACTGTCCCAGGAAAAACAGACTCGATTTTGGGGAAATTAGTTAGATTCATTAAAAGAACAAATCATAGAAGAGTGGTGAGAAATAAAAAAAATAAATAGATCTTAAAAGAAAACAGCTTCCCTCCCTTCTTCCCGGGCTCAACATCAATTCTGGTATCTCCACCTCCTCCCCCTGAGTGGCACAGGGGGACAGAGAATGGGGGTTACAGTCAGTTCATCCGATGTTGGTTCCATCGCTTCTTCACTCCGGAGGAGGACTCTTCACCCTTCCCGGGGGCCATTGTGGGGTCCCTCTCACGGGAGACAAGCTTCATGCTCTCTTCTCTGGCATGAGTCGTCCCATGAAGAGCAATTCATCATAAACTGCTCAACATGAGACACCTCACAAGGCACAACCCACCCCTCGTGAGTCTGAGGTGCAGTCCTTCACGGAAACTGCTCCGGCGTGAGTCCCCCGCAGCGTCACAAAAGTCCCACCAACCAACCTGCTCCAGCGTGGGCATTCACTCTTCCACAGGCTACAGTTTCTGGCAGAAAATTGCTCCGTTGCAGGCTACCCACCAGCTCCCCCACC